CACATTGTATCGTATTTAATATAGCCTATAGGTGTACAAAATAAAGCCTAAGAAATCATTTCCAATGTGTGCTACTAGGACAGGTAAAAAAAAAAAAAAAGTTTTATAAAAAGGGCAGTGATTTAGCTCAAAATGCCATAAATAAAAACAAAGAAGGCGGTAATAGGTAACATAAGGAATAAGAATAAAACAAGTATTAAATGATGTTGTTTATTGGTTTTTGATCATATTCTAAAGATGTTTGGTATTATTGAGAAGGATATACAGCCTCCCTTTCCAGTGCTGTTTGAGAGCTGCTATCCATAAATTATTTTTTTGGGATCAAGTGCCACCAGATTGGGCTATTTTCACTTCAACATAAAAAAACAAATCTTCCGGGGGGGTGGCATGCCCCGGACGGCCCCTAGAGGAGCGTGGAGCTGTCACCCCCAAGATAAAGCAGGGGTTAAAATAATTAAATGCCATACATTTTTGCTGTTTAGGCTAAACACTGAAACGGGTCCCACAGACCCAAAACAGCACCACAGAAGCGTTAAAGGTAAGCCATATAATAATGCTTCCAAATGTGCTTAAATATTATACAGTGCAAAAAAACTAAAAAAGAGGGCAGTAAAAGTTAAGCCTCACGACTTGTTTCATTTTTATTGAAAGTTGGCTCTCATTCCTAAAAAAGCGTTGGAGACCCTGTTATAGCAACGATACATCTTGACAATTTTAAGCCTTTGCCTACCATTTTATTGAGCGATGAGCGAACAGGTTGCGCGCGCTTCAAAAGGTCCCCACCTGTTTTAAAGGTGGTGGGAAATGACAGAAAAAGCTTTTGAGAACACTGGTGTTATACTAATCTGTGCTATTTAACTGCTGTGAAGTGAGGTTCGGCACAATTCTTGTAATAGGGGCTATACAAAATATAAAGCTTATTACTAATATTATTAATTATTATTATTTATTTATAAATAACTAATTTAAAAAAAGATTACCTTAAGAGAAGTGATGTAGTATTTGTATGCCAATATTTTCCTATTTCCTATTTTGATAGTAATAATATCGGACTCTTATTTTTGAATTCACGAGTCCAAGTCCGAGTCACGTCAATCATGTGCGGAGTCCAAGTCAAGTCACGAGTCCCGAAAATCGGCACTCGGAGTCCGACTCGAGTCCGATCCAGGACTTCGAGTACTCCATCTCTGTACAGACAAAGTAATAATACTTGTAACTATTCCAGTTATAAACGACATGAATCAAAGATGTGTTGCTGTATTTTAGTGGTAAAAAAATGCTTTCATCATCATTAATTATTCTATTGTTTAGTCTCCGATTGGACTAGGGAAAGGGAAGGGAAGCGACACGACCAGAGTGGAATTTGTAATAATTAGTAGGGTTGGTTTTATTAATACAACATGGGCAAACAAAATGGCAGGCAAGGCAGCCTGAACGAACAAAAAAATGCCAAACGGATGGTCATAACCATCAACAAAAGAGAACCCAAAAGAAAGTTATAGGGCTTTCCAGAGCTATATTAAAAGGAAAACAAAACCTCACGTTAACCGTGGTACAATGAAATGAGACAGGCTGCACACACACAGCTGTAGCTGATCAACAGGTGCTAATTAACTGGGTCTAAGCTGTTACACATTTCACTAATCCTAAATGTGTTCAACAGGAGCTAAGCTACCTGGGGCTTCTTAAGGACAGCGTTTACCACACACAACCACTAATTAGCACTCTGCTAAGCAGTCTTAACTTAGTACAGAAGGTTTTACCAGGTTTGTCGAACACAACAAAATAGCGTAACAAGAGGCTAGAGGCGTCTGTCTACAACACAGAGCCTCCAGAAATGGTTCTTCGTTCCCAGCCTTATACCTCCTCCCCGGGAAGATGGGCCCGGAAGGAGGGCGGAGATTGGATGAACGTGCTGTCCAATCACCTCTTTCAGAAGTTGCTGAGGCGGGACGACCAGTGGCAGGTCGGAGGAACTGCGCAGCTTTCCTGTACACACACCACACCCACCCACACACAAACAGAATTAACAGCCCAGGAAGGCAGCGGGCTGTAACATCGATATATGATTATTTACACAGTGCCTGTGTTTACGCTTCTCCACGAGCTTACAGATTGACTCACAATGCTGGCAACACCAGGACCGAGGATACAGGAGTTTATCGTTGGTAAAAAAGGTTTATTAACCAAAAACACCCTTCAGGAGACAAAAAGAGGGATAAGATGTCCAGGGCCAGGGTTTATCACCAGCGGAGGTGCGGAGAAGCACAGAGGTACGCTGGCCGAGATAGGCGGAGGATTCTTGAGTTGGCGGGAGTTACCCGGTTGGAGCTGGTGTGCGTGGAAGCACGGGGAAAACACCGACGAAGGGAGAGCCGTGGATCCAGAGCCGGCAGAGGATTAGACAGGCTTGAGCCGGTGTGCGTGGAAGCACGGAGGAACACCAGACTGAGGGGATTGATGGCTGGACGTGCAGGCAGAGAGTAGGCAGCGGATTACTGGGCAAGGAGAGAGGCACAAGGTAAGGATACTAAGAACCCCCCACAGAAGTATGTTTAGCTACAGCTAATTTACAAAATCGTATTACCAGCGTGGTGAAACGACAACTTGGTGAATTACTGGATTGGAGGGACCGGGTATACAGCAACAGCGACCTCAACCTGTCATACTCAATGTACGGAAAAACCCAACTTTACAGAAAAAACTAAATATAATTAAAATAATACTAAAATGTCCCACTGATCTGTGTTGAAAATGTGCTTTATATATATTGCCAATCGCCATTTTTAAAGGTCAAAATCAGGCCAGAAATTTGCCGAGCCTCCGACAACTACGGTAGCGATGAGAAGTGAGGCAGGGACGAGCTTGTCCTCGTAAGCCCATAGTAATTGCTTGGAGACGCGGGCACTAATTTAACGCGGGCCTTATTTTGTGAGCGCGCTCAAAGCCAGTTATTGTGGGGAGGGTGAGGTCACAGAATGAGCACTGGCCTCCACCCCCTCAAATGGGTGTCACCCCACAAGAAAATCCTGGTGGAGCGCGGGACTAAGCGCACCTGTTAGAATCTCACTGTATGTCACCAATGTTAATGTTTGGCATCCTATACATTTATCCTCGCCATCAAGTTCCTCTAAAACTTATTTCACGTATATATGATAAGGGGCTGTGGTCTCATATACCAACGCAATGGGAAAAAAAGCAACCCATATGTCCCGTAATAACAACGGATGGGGGCTCTGCGCATATGACTAATACATTTTAAAGGGAAGCCGTGACCGACATGGGCCCTCTCATCCAGTACCTCGATTGTATCAGTATGAGGATGAGACCGCCATAGTGAAACCCAATAATTAAAGATCTCGGTATTAAGACACTGATAATACGCGAGATCAAATGAACACAATTTACTCTAATGAGCTGTAGTACAGGAAGATGTACAAAGAGGTTAGAATAACTTATATGTACCAAAAAAATACGTAAGTAGAGAGTACTAATGTTTGTATCTTCAGAATGTTAACATATAAGTACAGTCTTGGAGGTTAAGACTATGGATACTCTCCTAGTCTCAATGTCTCATATACAATCACTGTTTTACTGTATATGCCTACTCCCCTGAATCTGCGGTTTGATCGGATTCTATCACTTTTCTGTATTGGTATTGACAAATTATATTCATTTTTGGATAACTAACGATTATTATCCTGGAGGTCAAGTATTCCAATTATCATTGTAGGAACCTGCATAACAGTAATTTGAATGTATCCCTCCATGCAATCAGTTGTTACCTCCCACAGTGAATATGGGTAATGACCAGTTAACAACTTCCTCTATGATTACCAC